TCTTCTTCTTCTTCTTCTTCTTCTTCTTCTTCTTCTTCTTCTTCTTCCTCTTCTTCCTCTTCTTCCTCTTCTTCCTCTTCTTCCCTCCATCGTTCCCAGCATTTGGCTCTTCTCCTTCCTTCTCATCAGGTGGCCAAAGTCTTTTGAGTTTCCTCTTCAGGATCCGGCCTTCTCAAGAGCAGTCAGGGTCAATCTCCTCTAGGACCGACCGGTTGGATGGTCTTTACCGTCCAAGGGACTCGCGGGAGTCTCCACCTCCGGCCCCAGAGTCCAAGGGCCTCCATTCTTTGGCGCTCAGCCTTCCTTGTGGTCCAACTTCCACAGCCCTGCATTGCAACTGGGAAAACCATAGCCGTCACTCTGCGCACTTTCGTTGGCAGGGGGATGAAATCTATCCCTGAAACTAGAAGTTCTTAAGCAGCTTCTACAAATAACTCCAGAGTTGTTGGTTACAAGACAGGCAGCAAAGACATTTCACAATAAAAATGAAACACAGGCAGTCCTCGACTTACAGTGGTTCGTTGAGCGACCGTTCGAATTCACAACGGCGCTGGGGGAAAAAAAAGCGGCTTATGACCGACGTTGACTTTTATGACTGTTGCAGCCCCTTTTCATGCTCAAAATTCAGATGCTTGGCAACCGGCTCATATTTACGACGGCTGCAGCATCCCTAGGGTCACATAACCACCACCACCCTTTTTTTGCGACCTTCTGACCAGCAGAGTCCACCAGCTGAGCAAACCGTGTGACTCACAACGGCGGTGGTCCGCTTAACAACGCTGGCAAGAAAGGGCCGTGAAACGGGGCAAAACTCACGTGACGAATGTTTCATTCGGCAACATACATTTGGGGGCTCCGTTGTGGCCATAACTCGAGGACTACGTGTATAGATTTCAACCCTGGGGCTCCCCCGATATTAGCTCTCAAGTCTCCTGGTGGAAGCATTTGTGGGGACCCAGCGCTGAGGCCGATTTCTGCTCCCTCCCCAGGTAACATCCTACGGTGGAGAGTTACGCTACACCATCAGCCACGATGCCTTCCCTGGCTCCCCTCTGCTGCGCGGCCGGGCTGACGTTCTGATCCAGGGAAACGGCATTTTCTTGGAGCACGTGACTGCAAGCACCCCTCTGCCCGGCGAGCCAACCACCTTTGTGGTGCCCTTCCGGGAGGTAAGAACCCAGCTCGGCAGGAAGTAGACTCTACCTGGGCCTTTGCTTCACCTGCCCAGCCACAGAGGCAATTCAGCTGCAGCCGCAGCCACCATGCAGAAGGGGAGCCTCTCTGTGTATGTGTGTGTGTGTGTTGTGTGTTTGGTGGTTCTCATTTCCCCACCTTGAGGGAAGGTCTGGTGGACAAAAGGCGGCATTTACACACACATACACTGTTAAGATATTGAAATTTAAGAGCTGACCAGTTGCTGGAAGGCTGATGCAATGTAACACTGATGCAATAAGGATGAATCAGCATAGCATGAGTATTGCCCTTTTAAGACGAAGAATGGATCCACAGTTTTACCTCTTTAAGAAGTGTCAATATAAAGGAAGCCATTAGAGGGCGTGTTTCTCTCTCGTGTCCTGTACCCATTGCAGAGTTCTCCGTGCAGAGTTAAGAAGATTGATTGCTTGTCAGGTATTGCCTGCCTGGTATATTTCTGTACATATCTTGTTAGATGAACCACTGTTAAATGTCTAAGCCTCTGTGTGCTGTGTGCTTTGCTCTTGGGTTGTCTCACAATAGCAGTCACGCTGCACACACATACACACAACCATTTCTTTTAGCAAGCCTGGCACCGTGCCAATGGGCAGAACGCCACCCGGCAGCACCTCCTGATGGCGCTGGCTGACATTGATCTTTTCATGATCCGGGCCTCCTATGCCGAGCGGCCTTCTGAGACCAGGTAGGAGGGGAGTGAAGGAGGCCCTGAACTGTGCCAGAC